ACCGGAGCTACTTCTCTAAGTTTATGTCTCTGGCGATTCACGCAGGTATGTGTTCCTCCGCAGCGGTGACCAGGCTACAATAGTCCGAATATAAGCACTTATTATAAGTGTACCGGAGTGATTCGGAATAAGACAAAAACACGGTTTGGAAGATGAACTCAAGATGTACTCGCTCATTATATACATTTAGCAAATTTTGAACGCATGCAGAAAAAGTTACATAGTGCTGCTTTAATAATTAAACAGTCAAAAACACCAGAATCTTTAAAACATGCCAGAAGCTTTATTGACATAATCTACACATAATGAGATATAAACTCAGCTTCATCAGACGGCATAAAACAGAAGCTGTGCCTGATTATACATTAATATTGTGATGCATTTCTGAGTGAAATGGCAATAAATGCAGGTTGGGACACGTATATAACAGTAAGAGCAGCGGCATGCATTAGAAATGCATTGAATTACATGCTGGTCTGAACTGCTGTGCTTCAAACAGAATAAATAACACATTTTTAAATATCATGACTTCATTTAACACATAACTGGTTTATTGAAAAGTGGATTGTTAAAAATAAATATCTTGTTAAAGACTAGTGATGTTAACTATCCCGATCATCGTGTGACTGTCTAAGGCCAGATGTTCAGAAGTAATCTGATCGGATCTGATCATATCCTGAAAGTGGAAAGAAAAACAGGATTCTGAATTCGGATCAGATCACAGAATCCAATCTTGGTTTTGATCCGGATTAAATCCTCAGTTTGTGTTCAAAACGTTTAGATCGGGGTACTTTTGATCCAAAAGACCTGATTGTTCTGATCCCAGCAGAAGAGTGCATTTCAGGAAATTGCATTTATTTTCTTTTTCTCTCTCCTCTGTATTCCCCGTATGTTCTATGTTCTGTATTAAATTATATTTATGGAATAAAAAACCCTGTTATATATAAATACTAGTTAACACTGATTTGCTGCGTATGTGTGCTCAGGTCGCTCACTCGCAGAAGCTGATTTGGTAGGAATCAAATATTCTTCTTTGAAGTTTTACGCGACTGGCAAACCAGGTAGAATTACAATTTTAATTTGTAGAGAGTTATTTTATTTTTGTACCTTTCGGCGGGAACTCGGCTCTCTCACACGCGGCTCCTCGCTGCCGGAAGACACCAGATGAACTGTGACGCAGGACGTACGCAACTTCCGCTAACAGCACCGTTTACGACATGTGCTTCCTTTATGATTTACAGTGCCTTGCGCTACTTCTTTAATATCACACACTTTTTTAAATTATGTTTATATTAAAATATGGCTGTGATGAATTGAACTACAAAGCAGAAGATGAAAAATTCGCGTCAGCCACGAGTTCCGCTGCCAGAGATATTTCTGTTATGAGGAGCGACCAACATCCGCGGCTCTGCCGTTAGCGGAAGCTTGGGTCACGTGAGCCTTTTAAAATTTAAATGTAGAACAAGAACATTCACATAGAAAATATACATAAAATGTACTCACTGTTATAATCATAGTGGCATCAAAGGAAATTGAAGAAAAAGAAAAGAAAAGAAAAAATATCCAGGTAATATAAATGAACAAAAGCAAAGCTTTAAAGTATTATGTATATTCGTTTAGCCTTTTTTATTATATTTTTTTAATTTATTTATTTTTCAATCTTTTTTTTTAATGCATAGGCTATCTTTTCTTGTCTCAGTAATTCATTAGTTTAACCGATTTACATGCGTTCCGCTTTTAGTGCTTCTTCTTCTTCTTCTAATAACGTTTTATGGCGGATGGTGTATTTACCGCCACCAACTGGACTGGAGTGTGGAGCACTAATAAGCAACTAATATATACATATTTATATTTATCTATATTTTATATAAAAAAATAAAAATAAAAAAACAAAAAAACACACACATTCCTAAATTCTCCTGATTAATCCTATTTCTTTAATGTATTTAACAATAGCACCATATATTGTACCTTGTTCTGCATGCTCTTTCAAGAGGTTTGACAAATTAAATGAGTCCGCTTTTAGTGCTGACACTGCAGTCTCTCCTTAAAGCGGCTCTGCGCTGCTGCCACACGACAGTCGCGGACGCTTTACGGCAGAGCCAGTGGCTGCGAGGTGAGCGTAACGTGCTTATTTTCTTCATTAAGCGGCAGAGATGCGGATCTAATGACGAATAAACCGCGTTTAAACGCACAGCAGTTCTGTTCGAGCTCAGTGTTCACGGCACACATGTTTAATGATCAGATACACACGACACGAACACACCTGTCATTATTTACTCACAGTCCCGAATGCTGTCAGTGTTTTCTGTTTTCCAGACATCATGATCAAAAATAGAGAATCAGGGTTTGAATAATGCTGTGTTTTACCTAAGCAGGTGATGAGATCGGACCCGGCTGCTGTCGGAGCACTGAAGCTTTGCTGTCTGGTGAGTTTCTGTCATGTTTCTTTGACTGTTTTCAGTGTTGGGGGTAACGCATTACAAGTTACGTAATCAGATTACTTTTTTAAAGTAACTAGTAAAGTAACACATTACTTTTTAATTTAGAAGGAAATATCTGAGTTACTTTTTCAAATAAGTAACTCCAGTTACTTTGTTTCCATGTGTTGAGTGGCAGCTCTGGTGTTGCCATTGTTCCTCACAATCAATAAACTCAAACTCAAAATATTATAGAAACCTGCAATAATTAAATATGTTAAATAAGACAAATATAATTTGTGTATTTAATCCCATTTTATTAACCGATGTCTTCGCTACTGACCTTCGTTGATCCAATTCAACCATATTAAGCAAAAAATACACATTTGTGTTTAATTTTAGTTATTGCTGAAGTTGTGTGTCTGTGATGTGTCTGTGATCTGTGTGTGTGTGTGTCAGTCGGTTCTGCTGGCTGGTTTGATGCTGCCAGTGCTGCAGCGGCTGGGATTGAGAGCGTTCTCGATGGCGTCAGACTCGTATTCGTCCGGCACACACTCCGCAGCCTTCGTCACCTGCCCCAATGACACGGTGGCCAAAGAGCTGGCCAGGTACACACTCCTGAAGAACACACACTCATGAATGAAAATAAACACATGCAACATTTAATAATACATTAATTTCAGCTAGTTGCTGATGCAACGTTTTTCATTTTCATTTAGTTTAACTTAATGTACCAAAATAACTAAAACCGAAATAAACATTAAAAACTATATAGGCATATTTAAAAACAACAAAAACTAATAACAAAATTACTAAAATTGATCTTAAATGAATATATCCCCAGTGAAATGTGTGTTTTGTGTTTTTGTCCTTAGAGGAATCGTGGAGAAGAAGCTGGCGGCGTGTGTGAACATCATCCCGCAGATCACATCCGTGTGAGTGTGTGTGTGTGTGTGTGTGCTGCAGGTACGAGTGGCAGGGGAAGATCGAGGAGGACAGTGAAGTTCTGCTGGTCAGTTTCAGATCTTTCTCTGCTCTATTTCTCCATTGTTATTTATTTATCATGTTTTATTATTCAGCCTCAAGAAAATCAAATGACGCTGCATAGGGCTGGGCGATATAGCAAAAAATGTATCAACGATATAATGTTTCATATCGTTCGGTATTGACTGTTGTGTGAGACGCGAGTGCAGCAGTCGTATTTGTCTGTCTAAAAATGCTCTGAATATGCATCTGTGTGAATGGCTTGGTTTCGGTTTTAACCTAATCAGTATCTTCTCCGCACTGAGCTTCTATATTTCTCTAATATTTTGAATGAATAAGGGAGACATACAGAATGTGCAGATCTGTTTCTGCAATCAGGAGCTACATTTGAAGACATTTGTCTCACTAGACAACCTTCAGAAAACATAATGCACACAAATGAGAAGAATCCTGTTCATTTAGAGATGTTAAATATATGATAACACAACAATGGTGGAAAATTGCATTCATTTATATGTATTCATCTACACTAATGTGCCTTTTCAGAGCTTGTATCATGGTGTGATAAATACATACAAACAAGTGTTTTTACATGTTTTTTTTTCCAGATGATTAAGACGAGAAGTTCAAAGATCCCTGCTCTTGCTGAATATGTCCGGTATCAGCTACAAAAACACTCTGCTTCTCTTTGAAGAATTTCTCTGCTACATGCGGAAGCAATATAATCGCAGTCTATCCAATGAAACTCCTCCTCATTTCTGCAGCTGTGTTTGGCTCTGACACGCTTCGGCTTTCATCTAAACACACAGCAGTGTTGAGTGAGTAAAGGTGAGTGTGTTGTTTGTTCTGCAGGTCGAATCATCCGTATGAAGTGGCCGAGGTCATCAGTTTACCCATCGATCAGGGAAACCCGCCGTATCTCAAGTGGATCGGAGACACCGTGCCCGAGTGAAGCGGCGTCAAAATACAGGAACTGCATCGCAGATTATGTTTTCATCGTTTGAGTTCAGTTTTTCTCCAACATAAAATGTACTGTGCAACTGCAGTGAATATTACAGATTTTGTTACAAACTAACAGTTTGATTTGATCTGCATTAAAAGGTTGCAATCAGCAAAATGCATTTGTTTGCGTCTCATTTACCTCAGTTGGTTTGTTCTGGATGTTTGGTTTGTGGGTGTGTTTGAGTCAAAGAAAGTCTTTTGTTTACCTCACTGAAAATAACACAGTAGTGACTTACTGCAAAATAAACCCTGATGCATGATCCCACTTTAAACACGGGTACTTACCAAATCAATAAACGGAGATGAATTATTGATTGGGAGTGTAAATGATTTTATTCTGTGAGCAGAAAGAGTGTGGTGATATGAGAGAGCGATGGAGGAAACGATCAGACTGTCAATGGTCAGTTATACAGTCTAAAGTCATTATATACAAGTAACAAGAGTCAATCACAGGCCAGCCCTCCAGAAGAGCAACTATCAACAATAGCTTTGCATGCTTCACTGCATCTCATCCAGCGCATCCATGTGAGGAGAAGAGCAGCACTGGGTTCCCTTTGAGCCCTCAAATGTCAGTGAACACAAACACACACACACACACACACTGTCCTCTGTCAGAGAAATATGTTGATTTGTTCACAGGATCTCAAACACTGTTCTTTACAAACAGATTCACTAGCTACATTTACATGCTCTCAATAATCCGTTTATCGGACTGAAACACATTAAACGCCTCAAATGACTCCACTGAGCTTGATCTGATCTGATTAAAAGGGCTGCTGTACACCTGAAACAATCCCAAAACAGGAAAAAAAAAAAATCAAGAATGGAAACGAAACCATTTTCTTAATCAGATTCAGAAATATCTTGCACGGTGCACAGATGCATGCTTGCATATATTTTATGTCGTATGAACTGTGCAGGAGACTGAATATTTACTAAATATTTGAAAAAAAAAAAAAAATCAAGGCAAAAACAACAGTTATACTCGAGGTAGCTGCAGTCACATTATCGCAGTGATTTCTCTGGTTCTGAACACATCGACTGTTGCAGTGCATGCACTGGAGCTTTGTTCAGAATGCATGTAATGCACATGTAAATGGATATATGAATCAGATTGCAATGCTTAGGGTTTCAGAATCTGAAATCAGATTGGATTCATTCGGATTGTGGAAATTAGTGCATGTAAACAGATTGATGTTTTCAGTACATGCACCCTCATAATGCAACTATCATGAGATTGAGGCAAACACGTACAAAAAATGTAAACACGTTACTGCATTGAGATATGTCAATAATATGGTATATTTTTAATACATATAGTACATTTTTATAGCATGGAATGTATGAATGAAATCTAGGTTTCAGGCCTTTATCATTTGCACTGTTCAGTTTCACTTCAGCAATTCAATGACATAAAGCCAGATGATTAAGACGAGAAGTTCAAAGATCCCTGCTCTTGCTGAATATGTCCGGTATCAGCTACAAAAACACACTCTGCTTCTCTTTGAAGAATTTCTCTGCTACATGCGGAAGCAATATAATCGCAGTCTATCCAATGAAACTCCTCCTCATTTCTGCAGCTGTGTTTGGCTCTGACACGCTTCGGCTTTCATCTAAACACACAGCAGTGTTGAGTGAGTAAAGGTGAGGGT